AGGTTTACGGCCAGGGCAATATCTGGACGGCTCCAGTTACTTATATATAGTAATGAGCCAATCACTGACCTAAATAGAGTATTATTTTGGAACTCTGGGCTATCCTTGTGTGCCAATCCATAATAGTCGGTCTGCATTGGGATAGCCGTTGGCTTGCTATCTTCCATTTTACATTTCACCAAGAGTTCCTCTATCTTTTCCTTTTGGGAGAGAGCAAAACCTTTTGGTGTAGTGATGATTTGTACGCCTAGGTACTTGTCCACATATCCTAAAGACTTTAGAGTGAACTTTTTTTGTAGGGTCCTGGCAAATATAATACTTCCCCCCTTGTCAGGCCCTATATATAAAAGATCATTGACATACACTAGGACTTTCTCCAGCCCCCCTTTGGTATCCCTTGTGAAGGTACATTTATCAGCTGGAGATGGATGGAAACCCAGTGATTTGAGAGTTTTAGTCAGGCATTTGTACCACAGTCTGCCTGATTGTTTGAGGCCGTACAAACTTTTCTTCAGAAGCCAGGTGTGGCCTTCCTGCCATTGAAATCCGGGGGCACCTCTGACATAAATTTCTTGTTTTAGATGTGTGTGTAAATAAGCGGTTTGCACATAAAATTGAAAAATGTGTTCCCCATGTGCTGCTGCGGTGACCAAAGCAGCCCTCACACTTTCCGCTCTCACGGTGGGGGAGTATGTTTCATCAAAGTCCTGCAAGTAGCGCTGTGCGTAGCCTTGTGCTACCAGCCGGGCCTTATAGAGGAGTTTGTTGTTGGGCATTGGCTTGACCTTGTAGACCCAACGGGTGCCAATTGCTTTCCTCTTTTTGGGGACTTCCATGGGGATGAAGACTTTCAATTTTTTGAGACTGTCCATTTCCCGCTCCATTGCCACCCTCCACCTGCGCTGTTCTTCCTCGGGAAGCTGGAGGACATCTGAGTACGTTTTAGGGGCCATGGTAATGCTGTTGACCGAGGCAACACAGCCAATGTCCAACCTTTTGGGTGGCACCCCTTTATTGGAGCGTTTTGATCGTCTGGGAAATTGCCACTCACCATCATCATTGTCATCCGGAGCATCAGTGTCAGAATTGGAGCTGCCGGAAGTATCTTTCCAATCGAAATGGGGCGGGCCTCTGTCCCAGGCGCTGCGAAGATATGGTCGTTTAGGTGAGGCAGGAGGTGTGAAGTCACCCAGGGATTCCTTGTCTGAATCGTCAGAGTCAGGTAGGGATTCATCACCATCTGGATCTTCGCTGGTCAGTTGCTTGGAGTTTGTTGGTTCATCCTCTTCAGGTGGTGCTGCTTGTTCCGTGTCGCTTCTAATAGGGGAATAACCGGGTTCATTGGAATGAATTTTTGACCAATTTGACCCCTCCTCAAAGGAAGCTGATCTAGAGACAATGACAAGGTTATTTTTGTCTACAAACCTAGAGGCCTTGCTGCCGGTTGCATAACCTATAAATCTGAGCCTCCTTGATGCCTTGCCCCCCTTTCTTCTGAGGTGCTTGGGAATATGGACCCAGGCATAGGAACCAAAAATTCTCAGGTGTGAGAGGCTAGGTTTCCTTCCATGGACCAGGAAGTATGGGGTTTGGTTAATGGCACTACTCCACGTCCTGTTGACTAGATAATTAGCCAGTTTGACCGCTTCTGCCCAAAAAACTTGGCTCATGTCAGCATCTGCAAGTAGGCAGTTCATGACATTCTGCAGCACGCCATTTCTCCTTTCTGAAATACCATTCTCGGACGGAGTTCGAGGGGATGATTTAAAATGGAGGATACCTCTCTCCTTCATCCACTTTTCAAAAATCTTGGATGTAAACTCAGTCCCCCTATCACTCTGCACCTGAGCGATGCACACCTTGTGTTGCATTTGGATCTGGTTGTAAAGATATTTGAAGTTGGTAAAGACTTCAGTTTTGTCCTTTAAAATAAATACATGGCCATAACGAGAGTAATCATCTACTACCGTTAAAAAATAACGCCCCCTACCAAGGGAGGGTCTAAAAGGACCAACCAAATCCATGTATACTAGCTGATAAGGGTACCTTGCACGACGGGAAGAGACCTTAGGTATAGCAGCAGTTTTAGATTTTGCTGCCTTACAGATGGCACATTCCAAATAGGTATTACAATTCTTTATCTTAAGCCCATCAGAAAAATCTTGCATTTTCTTAATAACCGGGAAGCTGGCATGGCCTAGCCTGCGGTGTAATATATGAGCACAATCCAAATGTAAAGGTTTACCCATATATACTTTGTCAACCTTATGTATCTTACCATTACAAGCCTTGGTCTGTTCTGTAATGAGAGTAGGCACTGGATTAATGGTCACCTTAGATTTCCTCAGGGTTGGCTGAGGAGTTGTGACCTTAATGGGCTCAGCCTTAATGGCTTTGGATGTCCTAGGAGCTGGTTTAAAAGCTTCATTGGTTTTAGGTCCAGGGTCCTTGAGTTTGGACAACCTGGGGGCTGGCATAGAAGCTTTCTGCTCTATCTGGGCGTTAGCTCCCTGAGCCCTCTTGTTAGGTTTCTTGTGCCTTTTGACCTGTGCTTTTGGGGAAAAATAAGGCAAATTGTTGATTTTTACAATATCGCCAACAACACCCCATTTTCGGAAACATAACCTCCACCCTTCTCAAAAACCAGTTTTACATTTTTATCCTCAGTCAATTTTAAGATGCTTAAAAGGATGTTCTTGATTGAGGGAACATACAGTGCCCCTGTGACATCTCCTATACCAGGCACATTGATCACGCCTTCCCCAGTTACCTCTGCCTTGTCCCCAGTGGCAACTTTTACTGAGGACTTGAGTGGGTGTAAAACCTGAAATTGTTGCTTCGTGTTGGCTATATGCGTTGATGCACCTGAATCAAGAAGCCACAGCCCCTCAGCATCCTTTACCTGGGAGGTGTGGTTGTCACTAGTGACACTACAGTATTGGTATCCTTTATGACCATCTCCCCCTCTTCCACGGCCTCTTTTATTTTTACTGTGCTTAAGTCCAGCCGTGTTGGCCCTAGAGCGAGGGCACTCCCTTTTAAAGTGACCTTGTATGCCTCAGTACAGGCCGGGACATTAGCGATGTGGCGGGGAAGCCTTGGAGGAGTGGGAAGAAGGCCTGGAGATCTTTCTGGAGACTGGAGGGCCATCAGATGAGGTCCATGGGCTGGGTAGGCCTGGAAATGTCTCTGGATCTCCTCTTCTCCATCAGAGGAGCAGGATTGCAGCTCCGGATCATCCCAGCAGGGCCGGAAAGGTGCGGAGGCCTCAGCCTGGGCCTCCCTGGAGCATTCAGTGAATGGTGAGCGCCTCTGCAGTGGGGGGTGGGAGGCTGCAGGTCCATCTGGGTTCCTCCGGGGGTGGGAGGTTGGATTTGGGGCCCTCCTTGAGTGGGCAGCTGGGTCTGGGGCCTCGGGGCGGCCGGTGGGTGGTTGCTCCATAAGTTCCAGGGCAGCGACCAGGGCCTCTATGGCCTCTTTGATGTTTGCCGTGGCAGGCGGGGCCTGGCAAGGGGCTTGTGGGTTCGGAGTGGTCCTCTGGGCCGCTGGAAGGCTGAACTGACTGGCTGGTGTTGTAGGCCTGGGCTGTGGAGCTGGGGATGGCCTGGCTCGTGGTTCTGGCAGAGTGCCCAGGGGAGCAGCCATCTTGGAGGAAGTGGCCTCCGGAAGTGGCCTGGCGGCCATTTTGTTTGGTGGGAAACTGGGTGGGGGGGCAGTCTCTCTGGCGGCAGGCGCCATCTTGGAGAGATCAGGCAGGGGAGTCCTTACCGGGATGGCAGGCATCTCTGGTGCTGCCTCCTCAGGCCTCTTTCTGGCTGCTGCCCTTGTCCTCAGGAGGGAAGCGAGCGCTGCTCTGCACTCCTCTTCTGACATCTCAGCCACTTGCCTGTCCAGGCTTTCATCCGGTCCTTCTGCCCCCTCTTCGTCAGTGCTGAAGAAGTCTTCTCCAGCATCGCTTGGCTCAGCCCCTGGGATCTCTTGCTGCATCTGGGTGGCCTCTGGCTGCCAGGGTGTAGCAGGATGGAAACCCCCTTCAATGTTTTCCATCGTTGATTCAGACTGGGGCTGCTGTGAAGTTCTCCTCCGTTGAAGGCCTCTGGTCACAACAGGGGAGCTTCTCTCACAGGTTATTTTGGAGGGCATCTCGCCTTTTCAACAGCTCCTGGAGTGGAGTTCTGCTACCATTCCCTCTGCTACCATTCTGTGGAAATTGGGATCGTAGAAACACCCAGGAGCATAGAAGAGTCCAAAGGCAGATGCATGAATAAATGTGATAAATGTATTTATTCATATAACAAAACATATTAACTATATACAAAGGCTGTCTTAATATCCATTAGGATAGGGGGCACACAGCGTGTGTGACTACCCTTACTAAGATCACATCTCATGGAGAACAAACGTAAAAGAGAGCTTGGTGGAAAGGTTAGAGGGGGTTTTATACTCAGTGTAAGCCCCTCCTCTCCACATAGGGGTGGGGGCACTTTCTGCCTCCACTAGTGTCTGTATGATATATGTGCCAATGGCTTGCAAATACTTGACACAATCCCCAGCAGATCTTGCACTGCCCGAAGGAACTGCCTGCTCCCCATCCCCAGGCCTGCCACTGCCTCCCTCTCCTCCCGGGTCTCTGGGTGCAGCTGCTGGAGCCCCCAGTGCGCCCTAGCTTGAGCTGGCCTGGGATGTGATGGCTCCTGAGTCTTCTGGTGGCCCTCTGAGTACCTGGAATGGAGAGGCAGAGGGAGGCTCCCAATGCCAGGACTGTCCCTGGGCAGGAATGCATGCCATGCCTGTGGGCACCAGGCGATAACGTATGGCATCAGCACTTTGCAGAGATACGACTCATGAATTCTAGGTCATGGGTTACAAAAAACAACAATAAAAACTTACTTTCTGATTTGGCACCGGTATCCACGATTGAAGCATTTGATATATTTACCTGGTGCTCTTACATAACCCAGAAGTGATGCCAAACCCAGCCACAGTTAAATGCCCGCAACCCCACTGAGCCTGCATAGAGGCTGACACCATGGAGCTGGCAAGTGCAGTCTCCCTCTTCTTGGTCGCCTCCGTCTCCTGCCTCGTCCTGATGTTCGTCCGGAGGAAGTCCTCTGCCAGGGGCCGGCTGCCTCCTGGACCCCCTCCTCTGCCTCTGGTTGGGAACTGCCTGCAGATGAAGGCATTCAAAACCTTGTCCTCCCTCCTCAAGGTAAGTCCACCTCTCTTGCCCTGTGGAAGCCCCAGAGATGTTCTTCCCTTGTCCACTTCCACCTGGCCTCTTGGGTCTCCTCAACCAGCGCCCTGGGTCTTCCTTCTCCACGATCCCAAACGTTCCCAGCCGTCTCTTTCCAGCACCACCTTCCTTGTAGCTTCCGTGAGATGACTAGGTGGCTCAGTGGTTTGACAATATGCCTGATTAGGTGGCTCAGTGGCTAAGATACTGAGCTTGTCACTCAGAAATGTCGGTGGTTTGAATCCCAATATAGGTCTCCTGCGTCAGCAGGGGGTTGGACTGGATGACCTCCAAGGTCCCTTCCAACTCTGTTACTGTTAGACTAGACTCTTCGGGCTGAGTCTTCTTTCGAGATCCAATCTGGGTCTTTCCTTTCTTCTTCTTCTTCAGCTTCCATTTAGGCATTCACACCTACGTGAAGCCTGGGAAAGGAATTTTCCCCCCTTGGGCATCGTATCTCGGATTTGGAGGAATCACCTTCTGATCAAGCAGATCGCGTGTTTCCCGAGGAGCCACACAAACCGAGATTAGAGAACACTTTTCTAGGCTAAAGGAAGCCTTGATGGGGCTGGGAAAATGGTTTGCTTTCCTTGGGGAACGTTGTCAAGACTATTCGGCTGGCAGGCTGGCAGAGGGAAGCCTTTCCAGCGCCCCCCCCCACAAAAAGCATGGCATACAAAATTGTTTTGGGGAGCAATTCTATAACCTAGAGTAGCCACCACCCCTACCACCCATTTTTAATTAGTCTAGTGTCTGGAATATTAACAATGAAACATTAGGAAATGCAAATATCTCCTTTCCTAAGCTACACGCCTGAAGAATGCCAATGCTGCCACCGTTGTCAAAAAGATCCCCCAGAGCCAATTTCTAGAATTGTGGAAGCTTTGTTTCCAATATTTTAGGTGTGTGTATGTGTGTGTGTGGGTGTTTAGAGTTAGGGTCCTGCCTTGGTGTGACTTCAGGGCATTGTGCAATTTTTCTTTGGACTAAGGGGTACACACAGTGGTGAAATCCATTTTTTTTTTACTACCGGTTCTGTGGGTGTGGCTTGGTGGCTTGGTGGATGTGGCTTGGTGAGCGTGGAAGGGGAAGGTTACTGCAAAATCTCCATTCCCTCCCCACTCTGGGGCCAGCCCGAGATGGTATTTGCCAGTTCTCCGAACTACTCAAAATTTCCACTACCGGTTCTCCAGAACCTGTCAGAACCTGCTGGATTTCACCCCTGGGTACACAGTGTGTTATGCTACAGGATGAATACATGAATACAGGAATGTTAATTTAATATTAATTTTCCTATTCCCAAGATCTGAACTGGTTCATGAGGCAGATCTTCTGGCATTAAGATTGTATCTCACGGCACCTTCAGAGGCTGCACTGCAAGCGTTCTGTGTAAATCGCCAGGCGCTTGAGCAACTAACGCTCTGCGTCTGTCCATCATAAAACAGTCCTGCCAGCTGAGTGACTCTCGGTCATTCAGTCCAAGGCAAAAGTGAAGCAGCCCCTCCTTGTTGCTGTCCTTCAAAGGGCGGTGGAGGCTCTTTTCCACAGCAGAGAACCTCTGATTACGTTCCAAGAATTTCTACCAATCCAGTGACCAGATGTCCTGTTGGTTTTATGCAATTTGTGGCAGATGGAAGAGCTTGGAAGCAAAGTCCAAGGAAGCTTGGATGCATGCCAATCCTTTAAAGTTTCCACATGGATGGCACTGAGGGTCAGCCTCTGGCAAGGGCACCTCTTGGGCCGCCTTCTCCTTCGTCTGCCCTGCAGCCCTGGGAACCCTCTCAGTTCTCCAGCCGAGTTTGTCCTCAGGCTGCTCAGTGGCTAAGACGCTGAGCTTGCTGATCAAAGGTCGGCGGTTCGAATCCCTTGTATAGGTCTCCTGTGTGAGCAAGGGGGTTGGGCTAGATGACCCCCAAGGTCCCTTCCAACTCTGTTACTGTTACTGACCTTCCTTGGCTTTCCGTGATTACCCAATTGGTGAATTTGAGATGGGTGGTTCCAGGGGTGAAATTCAGCAGGTTCCAAAGGACCGGTAGCAGAAATTTTGAGTAGTTCAGAGAACCGGCAAATACCACTTCTGTCTGGCCCCAGAGTGGGGTGGGAATGGGGATTTTGCAGTATCCTTCCCCCAGGAGTGGGGAGGGAATGGGGATTTTGCAGTATCCTTTCCCCAGGAGAGGGCAGGGAATGGGGATTTTGCAGTATCCTTCCCCAGGAGTGGGGAGGGAACGGGGATTTTGCAATATCCTTCCCCAGGAGTGGGGAGGGAATGGAGATTTTGCAATATTCTTCCCCAGGAGTGGGGAGGGAATGGGGATTTTGCAGTATCCTTCCCCCAGGAGTGGGGAGGGAATGGGGATTTTGCAGTATCCTTCCCCCAGGAGAGGGCAGGGAATGGGGATTTTGCAGAATCCTTCCCCGAAGAGTGGGGGAAGGATATTGCAAAATCTCCATTCCCACCCCACTCTGGGTCCAGCCAGAGGTGGTATTTGCCGGTTCTCCGAATTACTCAAAATTTCCCTACCGGTTCTCCAGAACCTGTCAGAACCTGCTGGATTTCACCCCTGCTTATGACTCTTTTTCACAGTTACGATCTTTGCAGCATCCCCATGATCACGTGATCAAAATTCGGACTGTTGGCAACAGTCTCATACTTCTGATGGCTGCAGCGTCCCTGGGTCCCATCATCCCCTTTTGTGACCTGACAAGCAAAGTCAATGGGGAAGCCAGATTCACTTAACAACCGGGTTACTAATGACTGCAGCGATTCACTGAAGAACCGTGGCAAGAAAAAAATTGTAAAAGAGGCCAAAACTCACTTCACAAACATCTCACTTAACAACCGAAATATTGTGCTCAATTGTAGTTGCAAGTTGTATTTCCATCTCTCCTTTTGGTTCCTGTGCAGCTGCGGGAAAAATACGGCCCCGTCTTCACGGTCTACTTTGGAAACCGCCCGATTGTGGTCTTGTGTGGCTACGAAGCAGTGAAGGAGGCCCTGATTGACAAGGCGGAAGAATTCTCCGGGAGGAAAACCAACCCTACCCTGCAGAAGACCTTCCAGGATTACGGTGAGGGATCCAGGCTGGTGGGGCAGGAGCAGGCCAGGCTGCCCCCCCCTTTCCTGGTCACGGAGCCCATTGCTCTCCTCTGTTCCCAGGGGTGGCCTTTGCCAATGAGGAGCGCTGGAAGCAGCTGCGCCGGTTCTCCCTAACCATCCTGAGGAATTTTGGAATGGGGAAGAAATCCATCGAGGAGAGGATTCAAGAGGAGGCCCGGTTCCTGCTGGAGGAATTTCAGAAGACCCAAAGTGAGGCTGCGGGATGTGGAGAGGGGAGAGGAGGGGACGGTTTGAAAGGCCGCTGGACCGATTGACCGACCATCCAACCCAGTGGTGGGATTCAAATAATTTAGCAACCGGTTCTCTGCCCTAATGACCAGCTGGATGGGCGTGGCCATGGTGGGTGTGGCCAGGGGGTGTGACAGGCAGCACTCGGCCTCCTGCAGCCCCCTGGGAATGAAAACAGGCCACGTCCCATTTTCGACCTAGAAGGCTTCCCAGGAGTGAAAGTGGGCTGCGAGGGTGGGGGAACACACCACGCCCCCCATGCCCCATTTTTGGCCTAATAGGCCTCCCTGTACTTACCTGCGAGCCAAAATGGGGTGCGTGGGTACTCCTGGAAGGGGTGGGGCAGAAAGGGGCGGGCCAGCCAACAATTTACTCACGGGTTTGCCCAAACTGCCCGAACCGGCTAAATCCCACCATGGATCCAACCCATTGCAGCAATGCTGAGGTCAGATATTAAGATATCCAGAAGAAACATAGAATCACAGGGCCAGAGGCGACCTGTGAGGCAGGAGACCTTGAGGAGGGGCTCGGACTAGGAAACCTCTGGTCCAGGAGATGCTTGGGCTGAAAAAAAGCATCACGGAATGTGGTTTCTTTCTTTGCTGACTGTTGTAGCGCGGGAATAACGAGAGGCAGAAGCAAGCTAGTGACAACAGCTCTTTAATTCAGGGTGAGACTTCAGCAAAGAAACACAGGCAACAGTCCTCTTTATATACTTTTCAGAGGCAACCATGAACCAATCAGAATTCACTGAACATTTGAATTTCCCACACAAAATAGATACATACATAACACCCCTCCACTCCCAGAAGGCACTTATCCTATCTATTTACATATTTATATACAAAATCACGCAGGTGACCAGGGCATGTCTTAGTTCTGGTTGAGCTGCGCAGTTCAGTTGTTGGTGAGGTGTTGAGCCGGTCGGAGGGACCTCCCGTCTCTCCCGGCTCCGCCAATGGAACCTCCTGGATTTCTCCAGAGGTGTGGCTATCCCTGGCTGGGAGTGTCGGCTCGCTGGGGCGGCGCTGGAACTCTGGGTTGCCAGATAAGTATTCCGGCTTACTCGGGCTTGAGGTAGCTGTGTCAGGAAGACTTTGATAGTTAGGACTCACAGTAAATGAGTTTTCGTGTTGTAATCATTTACGCAATTGATCTATATGTCTCCTCCAAATTTTACCATGCCCTATATCAACTGTGTATGACTTTGGACCGGTAATTCCTACGATGGTTCCCTCTACCCACAAGGGCCCGTTGGTGTAGTTTCTGGCAAATACTGGTGTTCCCACTTGGAATTGTCTTAGTCCTCCCCCTTCCCCCTTGAAGTTATCGGGGGAGTAATTGGGATGCAATCGATCGAGAATGCACCTTAGCTTTCGGCCCATTAAGAACTCGGCTGGGCTGCGGCCCGAGGTGGGGCACGGGGTGGCGTGCTGTACAGCTAAGAACTCATCTATTCTAGCCTGCCAGTCCCCTGCATCGAGCCGGGACAAAGCTTCTTTGGCCGTTCTCACAAATCTCTCTGCAAGGCCATTCGAAGCCGGATGAAAAGGAGCAGATAATGCATGTCTTATGCCTAACTCGGCTAGGTAGCCCTCAAATTGAGTTGCCGTGAATTGGGGCCCATTGTCAGATACCAGGGTGTCCGGCAACCTGTGTGTTACAAACAGTTTTCTGAGTACTTTGATTACGGCCTCAGAAGTAGTAGATGGCATTAAGGCAATCTCGAGCCACTTAGAATATGCATCTACAATGATTAAGAAGTTCTGGCGGTGGAACGGGACAGCGAAATCGATGTGAATCCTCCTCCACGGTCCCTTTGGTTTTTTCCATTCTCGTACGGGAGCTACAGGAGGATCTGGGCGGGATTCCTGGCAGGGCCTGCACTTCCCCACCCACTCAGTGGCGTCTTGGTCGAGATGTGTCCACCAAACATAGCTACGAGCTAGGCCTTTCATGCGGACAATACCAGGGTGTCCCTCATGCAGCATTTCTAAAACTCTGTGCCTTAACCGTGAAGGAATGACCACCCTGTCACCCCACAATAAGCAACCCCCCAACATTGACAGTTCATTTTTCTTGTTAAAGTACAATTGAAAATCCCCACTGTCCACCTTGGTAGGCCAACCCCGCATTACCCAGCCCATTACAGTGCGCAAAACAGAGTCCCTGGCAGAAGCCTTTGCCACCTCGCTTGAAGAAATGGGGCCCGGGGATACAACGTCAATGAGCAAAACTGGGGCTTCCGGAGTCGGGTTATCCAACAGTTTGGGCAAGGGGCATCAGCTGAGGGCATCAGCATGTCCCAGAGTTCTGCCTGGCTGGTGGAACAGTCTGTAGGAATAGGCGGCTAAGAAAATGGACCATCTGGTCATCCGGGGAGAAAGAGCAGCCGAGGTCGGTTTATCTCCAGCCAAAAGTCCCAAAAGAGGCTGGTGGTCTGTAATGAGTTCAAAAGTACGGCCAAACAAGTACTCGTGAAATTTTTTGACCCCAGCTACAGCCGCTAATGCCTCCCTGTCCAGCTGGCTATAGTTCCTTTCAGCACTAGATAAAGTGCGAGACTAATAGGCGATGGGCACCTCTAACCCGTTCGGCAGTCTATGGCTTAAGACTGCACCTACGCCAAAGGGGGAAGCGTCACACACCAACACTAGCGGTAGTTCTGAATTGTATTGGATGAGGAAACTGTCCTCAGACAGAAGTTTCTTTACTGCGTTGAATGCAGCCGCTTCTCGTTTGCCCCACACCCAGGGGACGTTTTTTCCAAGGAGCCTGTGTAGTGGCTCCGCAATGGTGGCTTTGTGTTTTAAAAACATGGTGTAGAAATTAAGAAGCCCCAAGAAGGCCTGTAGTTTGGGCTTCAATTTAAGGGTGGGCGCGTTCTGGATGGCCCTGACTTTGCTTTCTGTGGGGTGAATGCCTGTGCCGTCGATTCGGTAACCTAAGAATTCCACTGATGGAACCGCTATTTTGCATTTTGCTCATTTGAGTTTGAGTCTCGCTTCTCTGAATCTGGTCAGGACTTGTCTAACCGTATGTCCTAACTGCATCTTGTCTTGGACACTAATTAGGACATCGTTGAAATAAGGGACGACACCTGGGAGGCCTTGTAGAAGGTGCTCCATGGTACTCTGGAAGAGTCCTGGGGCGATGCTAACCCCAAACTGTAGTCTAGTGCATTTAAAGGCACCTCTGTGAGTTACTATGGTCTGCGATTCTGCCGTAGCGTCATCTACTGGCAGCTGCTGGTACGCCTGCGCAAGGTCTAGTTTTGTGAACAGCTTGCCAGGCCCCAGGGAGTGTAGTAGATGGCGGACGATCGGAATGGGATAGGCGCTCTGCTGCAACACCTTATTGATTGAACACTTATAGTCAGCGCAAATTCTAATTGATCCATCTGATTTAACTGCCGAGACTATCGGGGTTTCCCACTTAGCGTGATCTACGGGAACTAACACCCCTTGCTTAATGAGCTTGTCGAGCTCTGCATCAATTTTGGGCTTTAAAGCAAATGGAAATCGTCTTGCTTTTAGCCTGATTGGCGCTACGTTGGGGTCTAAATTAAAGGAGATAGGGGTCCCCACGTACTTGCCTAGAGTCTCTTCAAAAATATCCCGAAACTCGTGAAGAAGGGTTTCTTTGAGGGATGGCCCTCCGATGCTGTGAACGCCCGTGAAGCCCATGCCGAGGGCTCGGAACCTCGCCATGCCCAGGAGACTCGGTAGCGGCTTGCTTACGATGGTCAGGGGCAGCTCTTTCTGAAACTCGCCATAGGTGACCCGGAACGTGCCCACGCCTTCTACAGGAACTCGGTTTCCCTGGTAGTCGAGGAGGCGAACTTTCTGTCGGGACAGCTGGGCTTTCTGGAACTTGGGCAGGAGCGCTTTGAGTGTTGTCCAGGACATGATCGACAGTGTGGACCCGGTGTTGATTTCCATTTTGCACGGTCTGCCTTCGATTTCTACTTTTGTGTAGACTTTCTCATCGTCGGTTGTGCTGGCTTGGCCAATTCTCGTGGTGTAGGTCTCTCGCTTTTGAGATTTGTGCCGTTTTCTCGCACCCTCATCTTTGATTGGCTGTTTTGAACGAGCCAGTTCTGGTTGGTCACGGTAGTCACGTGGCTTGTGACTACGTGGAAATTGAGCTCTGCAAACTCGTGCTAGGTGGCCTTTCCTATTGCAACGCCTGAAAATGGCGTCTCTATATTTACACGATTGTCTCTCGTGATCCCCGCCACAGCTAGAACAGTTCTCGTGGCGGCAGCTTTGCTCGCTCTTTTTCTTCTCAGTATGGAAGACGTCCTCGTCTGACTCTTCCTCCAGGCTGGTTCGCGCCTCCTCTCTGTGGACGGGGGCTGTTTTCGGCCCATCTTTGCTTGGTAGTGGTCGCTGCAGTGCTTCAGAAGCCTTTGTTGATGCTTTGTGTGCTCGGGCTTCGTCCAACGCGCTGGCTAGCGTTAGGTCTGGCTTGGCCAGAAGGCGCCTCTGTAACCGAGTGTCTCTAACACTGCAAATCAGTTGCTCAAGTAGCGCGTCGTCTAAGTCTCTGTAGTCACAATGTGTTGCGGCTTTTCGAAGTGCGGCCACATATGCGCTGCCTGGTTCTCCTTCTTTTTGTACACATTGCCGGAGTTCGTAGCGCTGTACCAATTTAGAAGGAACTGGAGCGTAGTGGGCTCTCAGGTTTGCTTGAAGGATGTCCCAGGAGACCGTCTGGACTGGGGTTGGCTCACAGAGGGACTCGGCCATCTCAAAAACGTCTGGCCCGCAGTGGCTTAGGAACAGGGCACTTTTCTGGTTCGCTGAGAGCCCTTGCATTTCGCTTGCTTCCATGGAGCACTCGAACCTGGTCAGATACGATCCCCACTTCTCTCGGGTCGGATCGAAAGGTTTGGGCGAGACGTAGGCAGACATCGCAGTATGTCTCCATAGTCCACTTATCAGCCTGGCTGGAAGTCCGAGCTCTTTTAGTTTGCTTCTTGTGGCCTCAATCCCACCTTCGTCGCCAATGTTGTAGCGCAGGAATAACGAGAGGCACAAGCAAGCTAGTGACAACAGCTCTTTAATTCAGGGTGAGACTTCAGCAAAGAAACACAGGCAACAGTCCTCTTTATATACTTTTCAGAGGCACCCATGAACCAATCAGAATTCACTGAACATTTGAATTTCCCACACAGAATAGATACATACATAACACTGACTCAAACACGCATCAGGCATCATTTCCTCTCTAAATAATTGCGTACAGGGGAAGAGAGGAATCACCCCACACCAGGAGTGGGTTCTAAAATATTTATTACTGGTTCCGTGGGCATGGCTTATTTTGTGGGCGTGGTTTGATGGTCATGTGACAATTCTTTAGGACAGTGATGGCTAACCTTTTTGCCGTCACGTGCCAAAAGCAGGGGGAGCGTGGGGGGTTGCGCGCATGTGTGCCCACACCCATAACTCAATGTGCCCTGCTCCCCTGCGCATGTACGCGTGACCCCCTCATGCGACCCCCGCTTTTGGCATGCGATGACATGGTGGGGCCAAGTAGGCCTGTTTTTTGCCCTCCTCAGGCTCCAGAGACTTTCTTGGAGCCTGGGGAGGGCAAAAACTGCCTTCCCCACCCCCTGGAGGCCCTCCAGAGGCCAGAAACAGCCGGTTTCCCAACTTCCAGTGGGCCTAGAAGGCTGAAAATCAGCTGGCTGGCACGTGCAAGCACGCTGGAGCTGAGCTAGGGCAACGCTCACGTACCCACAGATATTTTATTTATTTATTTATTTATTTATTAAATTTATATACCGCCCGATTCCTGAGGGACTCAGGGCGGTGAACAGCGAACGATAAAAAATACATGTAATACAAACGTTAATTAAAAAAAACCAATTAAAATATACTAAACACTCTGGTCCTAGATAATTCAAGACATCCCAGTTTAAAATAAAATCAAAAGCAATATAAAGGGAAAGTTAGGCCAGGCCGGCCTGCTGAAACAGGAATGTTTTGAGGGCACGGCGGAAAGTGCGCAGATCCGGAATCTTCTGTATCTCTGGGGGGAGCTCGTTCCAGATGGTGGGTGCCCCCACAGAAAAGGCTCTCTCCCTGGGGGCCGCCAGTCGACACTGTTTGGCTGACGGCACCCTGAGAAGCCCCTCTCTATGGGAGCGTACTGGGCGGTGAGAGGCTATTGGTGGCAGAAGGCGGTCTCGTAAGTACCCCTGTCCTAAGCCATGGAGCGCTCTAAAGATGGTAACTAAGACCTTGAAGCGCACCCGGAAGATCACAGGGAGCCAGTGCAGCTCGTGCAGGAGGGGAGCCACATGGGAGCGCCATGCTGCTCCCATAATTACCCGCGCGGCCGCATTCTGGACCAGCTGGAGCCTCCGGGTGCTCCTCAAGGGGAGCCCCATGTAGAGAGCATTACAGTAGTCCAGGCATGAAGTGACGAGGGCATGAGTGACCGTATTTAACGAGTCCCGATCCAGAAAGGGACGCAACTGGTGAATCAGGCAAACCTGATAAAAAGACCTCCTGGCACAGCCGTCAAGTGTTCTTCTAAAGACAGCCGTGAGTCCAAGAGGACGCCTAAGTTGCGAACCCTCTCCGTGGGGGGCAATGACTCATCCCAATAGTCAGTGATGGCACCAACTGACTATATCGGGACATCGGAAACCACAGCCACTCGGTCTTGGATGGGTTGAGCCTGAGTCTGTTCCTCCCCATCCAGATCCGTACAGCCTCCAGGCACTGGGACATCACTTTAAGGGCATCATTGGGGTGGTCCGGGGTGGAGATGTATAGCTGAGTATCATCAGCATACTGATGATACTTCACCCCAAAACCACAGATGATCTCACCCAGCGGCTTCACATAAATGTTGAACAGAAGGGGTGAGAGAACCGATCCCTGTGGCACCCCACATACAAGGGGCCTCGGGGTCGACCTCTGCCCCCCTGTCAACACAGACTGCGACCGATCAGAGAGAAAGGAGGAGAACCATCGCAACACGGTGCCCCCCACCCCTAACTCTTCCAACCGGTGAAGCATGATACCATGGTCGATGGTATCAAAAGCTGCTGAGAGGTCTAATAGGACCAGGACAGAGGAGCAACCCCTGTCCTGGGCCCTCCAGAGATCATCTACCAATGCGACCAATGCCGTTTCCGTGCTGTATCCAGGCCTGAAGCCCGACTGGAACGGATCTAGATAAACCAATTCATCCAAGTACTGAGGAAGCTGTCGCACTACCACACTCTCAACAACCTTCGCAACGAAGCGAAGGTTGGAGACTGGACGGTAATTAGCCAACACTGCTGGGTCCAGGGAAGGCTTCTTGAGGAGAGGTCTCACCACCGCCTCTTTCAAGGCGGCGGGGAAGGCACCCTCTCTCAAGGAAGCATTTATAATCCCCTGGAGCCAGTCTCGTGTAACCTCCCGAGAGGCCAGCACCAGCCAGGAGGGACACGGGTCCAATAAACATGTGGCCGCGCTCAGTCTGCCCAGTATCTTGTCCACGTTTTCCGGAGTCACAGAATCAAACTCTTCCCAGGTAATATTCTCAAGACTTGCCTCCATCCTCCCTCCCGAATCTACCCAGTCAGAGTCCAAATTTTCCCGAATCTGAGCGATTTTGTCATACAGATATTGTACAAAGTCCTCGGCTCTACCCTCCAAGGGGTCCTCCTGCGCTTCCTGGTGGAGCAGGGAGCCGGTCACCCTAAACAGGGCGGCCAGGCGATTATCTGATGATGCAATAAGAGCGGAAAAATAGTTACACTTTGCCGCTTTTATTGCCACCAGGTAGGTCTTAATATGAGACCTTACCAGTGTTCGGTCAGATTCAGAATGGCTGGCCCTCCAACTGCTCTCCAGGCGTCTTTTCTGGCGTTTCATCTCCCTCAGCTCCTCGGTGAACCAGGGAGCCAGGTGAGATCGACGCCGGGTTAGAGGCCGCAAAGGCACGACCCGGTCCAAAGCTCCAGTGGCCACCCTATCCCAGGCAGCCACTAGGTCCTCAGTCAAGCCGTGTGCCAGAGCCTCAGGAAATGGCCCAAGCTCTGTCTGGAACCTATCCGGGTCCATCAGGTGCCTATGGCGGAACCACCTCATCGGTTCCGCCTCCCTGCGGCGGGGTGTGGTGGTTCAAAGGTCAAAGCAAAGGAGGGAGTGATCTGACCATGACAAGGGCTCGATCGCTATATCCCCTATCTCGAGACCACTCAGCCACTGACCAGAGACAAAAACCAGGTCCAGCGTGTTTCCCCCCGTGTGAGTAGGGCCATGAACTAATTGGGTCAGGTCCATGGCCGTCATGGAAGCCATGAACTCCTGAGCCACCTCAGACGCCTCACCGACGGATGGCAGGTTGAAGTCCCCCATGACCATAAGCCTAGGGGTATCAATCGCCACTGCGGCTATAATGTTGAGTAGTTCAGGCAAGGCCGCTGCCACGTGGCAGGGAGCCAGGTACGTAACCAGCAGGCCCATCTGCACCCCATGACCCCACTTCACAAGGAGGGACTCACATCCGGCCGTCTGAGGAACAGTGGCCTCCCTCGGATCAAGACCCTCTTTAATGACAACTGCCACCCCCCCGCCCCTTCCCTGTGACCTTGGCTTTAGGATTTAGCAGAGGTACTGATCTACCAGGCTTTTAACTGCTTGCAGAGCCGGTCCACCCATTTGTTTTTGGAGCGCACTGGTCTACCACCACACTGCCTTTTACCGCTGATCAGCTGTAGGGCGGCCCTTTGAAGCGCCGCGACAAGAGTTTAAACAGTTTTTTTCCTTCTAGCTGATCAGCTGGGACTTGGGAGGCAGCGAATAGATTGGGGGGGGTGGCAGGCAGAGGTGGTATTTACTGGTTCTCCGAACTACTCAAAATTTCCACTACCGGTTCGCAAGAACTGGGGAGAACCGGTAGCAACCCACCACTGCCCCACAACCCTCCTAAAACAAATCTGGAGAAAATTGTTTACCTCTTTGGCCTAAGCCCGTGATGGGGAACCTATGGCACGTGGGCCCAAAGTGGCACGCAGAGCCATGTCGCCTGGCATGTGCAGCATCACCTGTTCCTCTTCCGGGTTTCTGGCGCAAATGTGAGCGCGACGATCACTTGGCATTTTTGCATGCGGCAGTGCCAGAAACTGGAAGACTTGGTCTCCTGTTTTCCTGCATGAGCATGCGCACCATCCAGGTGATTGTTGAGAGTGCATGCAGCCCAGAAACTCGGAAGAGTAGCTGGCTGAAATCGGAAGTTTAGCAGCTGAAACTGGAAGTTTAGCAGCTGAAACCGGAAGTTCATTTTTGGGCGCGCGCATGTGCCCTGGGCAGCTCGTCTTCCAGGTTGCGGTCCAGATACGCGCATGCTCCCTTTTTGGCACTTGGCGACAAAAAGGTTCGCCATCGCTGGCTAAGCGGTTCCTATGACACGTTGATCCTCCCTTCCTTCTCTCTTTCTCCCTCCGCACCAGAGAAGCCCTTCAACCCCATCTTCTTCCTCAGCTGCGCCGTGTCCAACGTCATCTGTTCGATTGTCTTCGGCGATCGCTTCGATTACAAAGACAAGGAATTTCTGGCTCTCATGAAGATGATGAATGACAGCTTTCGGCAAATGAGCAACAGCTGGGCTCAGGTAGGTCCACACAGCTCTTCGCCTCTCTTCAGCAAAATGGGAGGATCCGCGACTGCTCCTCCCTTGGACAATCTGGCACTATCCAAAGACACTGGGCAGCTGCCGTGGCTTGGGAGGATGAGAACTCTGGTCCAAGACCCAAGGGCAGCCAGGAGGGAGGAAAGGGCCCTTGAAAGAAAAAATCTCCAAGATTAGACAAGAATAACAGAGTTGGAAGGGACCTTGGAGGTCTTCTAGTCTAACTCCCTGCTTAGGCAGGAAACCCTACACAACTTCAGACAAATGGTTGTTCAATCTCTTCTTAAAAACTTCCAGTGTTGGAACTTCTGGAGGGAAGCTGTTCCGCTGATTAATTGTTCTAAATGTCAGGAAATTTCTCCTTAGTTCTAGATTGCTTCTCTCCTTGATTAGTTTCCACCCATTGCTTCTTGCCCTGCCTTCAGGTGCTTTGAAGAATAGTTTGACTCCCTCTTCTTTGTGGCAGCCGCTGAGATATTGGAAGACTGCTATCATGTCTCCCCTAGTCCTTCTTTTCATCAGACTAGACATACCCAGTTCCTGCAACCGTTCTTCATATGTTTATTTGATTATTTAAGTTCATATGATTATTTAAGTTCCTTAAATAATAATGCATCTGCTGATTTATTCTTGAAATGCTGCATTCATTAACTGATTAATCGATCTCATTGAGTACCTTCGGCTATGCATCCATCGGCTGGAATGAGCTCTTTTGTAACATGTCATATGTAACGGTAACAGAGTTGGAAGGGACCTTGGAGGTCATCTAGTCCAACCCCCTGCTCACGCAGGAGACCGGTACTAGGGATTCGAACTGCCGACCTTTCTGATCGACAAGCTCAGTGTCTTAGCCACTGAGCCATATTCTTTTCCTCTCGTTTTCTGCAGTTCTACGATATCTACGCCAACCTCCTGAAATACTTCCCAGGGCCCCACACCAAGATCTCTGACATCCTGGAGGACATAAGGCTCTTCATTGCCAGGAGGGTGAAGAAGAACAAGGAGACCCTGGACCCCAACTCTCCCCGGGATTACATCGACTGCTTTCTCATCCAGATGGAGAAGGTAGGAGACAGGGAGGGAGCCCAGGATGATTTCCCCAGCTACAAAGCTGTGGATGGGCACAGGGCAGTGGTGGAATTCAATTTTTTTTATTACCGGTTCTGCGTGGCTTGGTGGGTGTGGTGTGGTGTGGCTTGGTGGACGTGGCTTGGTGGGTGTAGCAGGGGAAGGATATTGCAAAATCCCCATTCCCTCCCCACTCCTGGTGAAGGATATTGCAAAATCCCCATTCCCTCCCCACTCCTGGGGAAGGATACTGCAAAACCTCCATTCCCTCCCCACTCCTGGGGGAAGGATATTGCAAAAAATCTGGGGCCAGCCAGAGTTGCTATTTGCAGGTTCTCTGAACTACTCAAAATTTCCACTACCGGTTCTCCAGAACCTGCTGAATAGCACCCGTGGCACAGGGGGCTTTGCCACGGGGCAAAAGATGCGGCTCCTTTCCTGCAGAGGGCACTGGGGCACTGGTGGAGATGGGGACAGAGACAGGTGAAGCAGGAAAGGGGCTGGCAGCAGAGACAGCCCGTCCCCTGGGAATCCCTTAGCCAGTCCAGCCACTCGCTAGGACCAAGGGGCCATTTCTGTTTTGGGGAAACCGGGCAGTGGTGGGTTGCCCCCGGTTTGCACCGGTTCTATAGAACCAGTAGTAAACCCGGCGGTAGGCTCCGCCCACCGACCCTGATGTCATCAGAACGCTTCTCCGCATGCATGCGGCCCCGTTGCGAGCCGGTAGTAAAGGTAAGTAGAACCCACCCCTGAAACCGGGCGCTTAGTCAGCCTCCAATCAGGGCTTGTCTCGCCTGGTGTGCTCTCCCCACAACCCAGCTGGAAAGCCTCCTTCGAGCCCCCCCCCCACCTCAGCTTCTCACGCACTTGTGTTCTACTTTGCCTTCAGGAGAAGGACAATCCAGACAGCGAATTCAACCAGAAGAACCTAGAGATGACCACGCTGAGCCTGTTTTTTGGTGGGACGGAGACGATCAGCTCCACCCTGCGATACGGATTTCTGTTGCTGATGAAGTACCCTGAAGTGCAAGGTATTTTTTTGGGGGGGTGATTCAGCCCCAACGCAGTATATGTCTCTAGGCCAGGAAGCAGCCCCCCCACATCCCCTGAGTGCCACTGGGATCACTAGGCCAGCGAGAAGTTGCTTGAGCTGCACAAATGCCTGAATTCAGCCTGAGAGCCACCCATGGAGGAGGTCAGGCCAGAAGCTGTTGGGTGAAGGGGAGGGATGCCAGCTCCACGGCCCTTGAGAACAGCCCCCTCAGTAGGTGGAGACCCCTCCTGTCCAGTTCTTAGCCCCCCCTAGCCGCTGATCCAGGTGCATCAGAGAGCGTGCAGTTGAAGCCACTAACTTTAAGGCCTCATTTTGCCAGCAAAGATGCAGGAAGAAATCGACTGTGTGATTGGCCAGAACCGGATCCCCAACATTGAAGACCGGAGCCAGATGCCCTACGTGGACGCAGTTATCCATGAAGTACAGCGGTTCAGTGACCTCCTCCCCATGAACGTGCCCCATGCGGTCACCCGGGACACGGAATTCAGAGGCTACCTTATTCCGAAGGTCAGAGCCTTGAGGAGGGGGAGACTGGCCCAGGGGCATCGGGCTGGCATGTTGCCACCTGTTCTGATCTAGGCTCCCTTAATAAGCCGGAGGCAGGAATTACTGGCAAAGCCTCTTTTATTTACATGACTGTGAATTACGTTCATTCAGAGTCAGCAATTTTTGTCCAAATAGTTTTTCAAAGGAATATTTCTCAACACACCTAATCTCGTTTGACAAGCTGCCACGTAACTTGTTTCCAACCGCAGTACAAGACAAAACTTGGCACAGAGTCTCTCAGAGTCACGGAACGAACAAATTGTTTCCTGCGAAAGCCCACTCCCTGTTCACTCCTCTTTTATTTCCTATGGGAGGGGCCAATCACCTCCAAGGTGTGGCTTTAGTCCCAAGTCGACCCTGCTTTCTGAGTTGTTCTTGTCTTCTGGCAGCTCTGTGCATACGCACCCAGGGAACAGGCTCCAGCTGATCCTCTGCCTCTCTGCTAACTCCCTCTCTGTCTCCAACGCAGAGCCCTCATCTGAGCTTTCCCCAGGCCCAGGACTGGCCCATGTTCCTCCCCAACCTCCTCACTGTCCGACTCTGCTGCCAGCTCCGCTGGCCACTGATGGGCCACAACAAAACCCTGGGCACTGGCTGGGCTGCCCAGCAGGATCGGGGAGAGAGATCAAGGGGCTGAGGAGGGCTGGCCAGGAGGCAGGAACCCCGGCTGGAGAGTTCTAATGGCCCAAAGACAGTGCCCCCTCTCCTCCCACCCAGCCGGCCAGGTGCGATGAGAGGAGGGTGTCGATGGGGTCCCAAAGGATCCGCAGGACAGAAGGGTAGGAAAACCCAGGTACTCGGCACGTGTCCAAACCGGCCCCCGCTCTGTCACTGCAAAAAGGGAGATCGTCTCTTGGCTGCCTTCCCCAGATCACTTGGGCGTTTTGTGCCACCGGGGTGAAAGAACCTCTGCCCCTTCTCTTCCTCAGGGCACAGAAGTCTTTCCCATGCTCAGCACCGTCTTGCATGATGGCACCAAATTTAAAAGCCCTGAAGGGTTCCACCCGGAGAACTTCCTGGATGAGAAGGGGTGCCTGAAGAGGAATGATGCCTTTGTCCCCTTCTCCGCAGGTACAGCCACACCGAGCCCACCTTCCCCCCACCACACCCTCCCGGGCCAGACTTCTTGGCTGCCCTTGGGATTTTTCCTTTTACAGCCGGCTTTTCCGGTTTCCATACCAAGCTGGCATTGGGGGCTTCCTTGGCATTTCTTACGCATGCTGGACGCCCCTTTGGCCCCGCTGGCAACTCAGGAACCCAGGTGGCCCTCTAGGCAGCGGCCCTGCCTTTCCCAGAGTGTGCTGAGCAGCTCCTGGCCATCCAGCTTCCGACCAGGAAATGGCTTGGACCTGCCCGGAGGCTCTAAGCCACTTCTCCCGGTCTCTCCTCGCAGGGAAACGCATCTGCCTGGGGGAAGGCCTGGCCCGGATGGAGCTCTTCCTCTTCTTCACCACCATCCTACAGCGGTTCCGGCTGAAGCCCGTGGTGGAGCCCAAGGACATCGACCTGACACCCCAGGAAGTCGGCTTTGCCACCATCCCACCCCTGTACGAGCTCTCGGTCATCCCCCGCTGAGAGGAGGGAGCCATGCGGGGGGGCGAGTGTGCCCTGCCTCTGGGCTCCTGTGCTTTTGCACCAGCTGGGCTTTCAGCAAGAGCTGCACGCAGTGGTGAAATGTAAAATTTGTTACTACCAGTGATGTGGGCGTGGCTTGGTGGGGATGTAATATGACTGAGTGGGCATAGCCAACTTTTTTTTTTTTTTTTACTTTTAAAATCATTTTTTCTACAATCTCTTCGGCTTTTTTTTAACAACCGCGCCATCATCAGAGGCTTTTTTTTTTTTTTTACTTTTAAAAGCATTTTTTCTACAATCTCTTCGGCTGAAGAGGTTGTTAAAAAAATGCTAAAGCCTCTGATGATCCCAGCTGACTTGCCTGATTAGCAGAAGCTTTTTTTCCTTTTAAAAACATTTTTTCTATAACCTCTTCGGCCAAAGAGGTTGTAGAAAAAATGCTTTTAAAAATTAAAAATAAGCCTCTGACGATTGCGCGGCTCAGCTGGGCAATGGGTGGGGGAGAGGAATTTTTGCTACCAGTTCTCCGAACCACCCGCCTCCATCGCTACCAGATCGGGCGACCCGGTCCGAACCGGGAGCATTTCACCCCTGACTGCACGGTCCCCTTCTCTGCACCCCACCCGGGGCCAGGATCTCTGAGGGGGATGGGAAAAAATACCTCTTCCAGGTGTTTGCCTTGAAAATATAAAGCTTTGCAAGGATGCAGATGATCTGAACTGGTGCAGCCCTGGTTTCTTCTAAGCTGTGTGTGTGTGTGTGTGTGTGTCAGAACTTGTTTCCTGGTTGTTATTGTGCCCCAACACAATCACTGGGGTAAATCTATGAGAGGGGCCAATCACCTCCAAGGTGGCCTACGTGATGTTGCTTCAAAAGAGCAAAGCAAAAGAAGTAGGAGAGAGCAAAAGCCAGAGAAACGATCATCTGCCCAGCACGTTGCCATAAAAAGCCACAGGATCCCCTTGCCTCACCCCCACCCCTGGCCTGTCCCGGACCCGATGGCCCCGAATGTGACACTCAGGAAGTCCATTTACAGGGGGCATGGATGCCCCCTGTAAGTGGACTCCCTCTCGCTCAGGCCGTGAGCTTTGTGGGGTGAGGAAAGGGCTGGACAAAAGACCAGGGATCCTTCACCCCTGTTTCTTGGGCCAGTAGAACAACTGGTCTGCATTGTCTGGGGCTTCCTTCAGCCATCTTGCAGGGCTGGAGAAGAATGGCTACCAGGCAGCATCAGTGCGCACCAAGTCAGATACTTGGGCCAGATTCTTGGCCAATTCCAGGACGGGCCCTTCAGTGCCAGCTGAGCTGGAGCAACTCTCTGGGCAGAACAAGAAGATCCAGATGGACTGGCCAAATTTCAGCGGAATCTGGAACATATGCTGATGGGTTTCAGCCATATGAAGGGAAAGCAGCTCACCCAAAAATGAGAGGACCCCCAAAGCAGCAATACCTTTGTCAAACCACAATTTCCAGACTGCCTTCACACAAGGTGCCTGTCGGTGGTGAAATCTGAACCGGTTTACTTTACCAGTTTACCGTGGTCAGCCAGGATAGCTGAAGCCCAGTTGCCAACTTCTGGGCAAGCCTAAGCCTTCAAAAACTTTAGCAAGCAGTTCTCTGCCCCATGGCCTAGTCGGAATCCTGCATCACGGCTGGGGGTGGGGGCGTTTTTGCCCTCCCTGGGCTCTGGAGGCTTTCTTTGAGCCTCTGGGAGGGCGAAAACAGCCTCCTCAGGCTCTGGGAAGCCGGAAATGGGTCCGTTTCCAACCTTCCCGAACTTCCGGTAGGCCTGTTTTTTGCCCCCACTGAGCCTCCATGCGCGCCCTGCACTTACCTGCATCCAAAACGGACCGCATGGGGACTCCTGGGAGGGGAGGGGAGGGGAGGGGCAGGGTGGGCAGGGCTAGCCAGGAGTGGGATTTGGGGGTTCCCCGAACTGGACAGAATCTTAGCTAGAGGTTCTCCCGAACTCCTGTGAATCCCCAGCAGCCCACTCCTCAGTGGTGGGTTTCAAAATTTTTTTACTACCGGTTCTGTGGGTGTGGCTTAGTGGGCATGGCAAGGCTTGGTGGGTGTGGCTTGGTGGGTGTGGCAGGGGAAGGATATTGTAAAATCTCCATTCCCACCCCACTCCAGGGGAAGGATACTGCAAAATCCCCATTTCCTCCCAATCAGCTGGGACTTGGGAGGCAGAGAATAGATGGAGGTGGAGCCAGTCAGAATTTTTACTACCAGTTCTCCGAACTACTCAAAATTTCCACTACCGGTTCTCCAGAACTGATCAGAACCTGCTGAAACCCACCTCTGCCACCCCTGCTTCCCATGCTTGGGATACTTTTGCAGTTGGAGAGCAGCTATTTTAAAGAGAGTCTTGTCTCTACTCTGTCTCCTGGGCTGTGACCCACTGAACCCCCTCCCCCAATCCTCCTGGCTCCTCCAGGCCCCTTAGACAGACTCAGGGTCCCCCTGGTGAGCTCAGCAAAGCCTGGCCTGCAAAGGGAGAGAGCTTTGCATAAGCTGAATTTCGATCATGTGACTTATGGGGTGTGTGTGCTGAAACAAGTTTTAAATGTGAGGACCAGGTTTGAGACAATTTTTTTCGGTGCCATTCTAATTTTGAATGGTCACTAAACGAACGGCTGCAATTCAAGGACCACCTGTAATGCAAATTTCTGGCAGAGTTTGCAGAACTGAAGGAGCTTCTTGGATGAGAAGCGAAACATCTTCAAGGAAAAACAAAATCCGGTTGCCTTTTGAAAAAGCATTTTTGTGACACCCACGACCTGGATGATTGTGAATCTCCACGGACACTAAGCCGTGATGTGATATATTTTTTTTCTGTAGGAGCCCAGCTGTCCATTTTAGGGGCAAAAAAAGCCCCTAAGTGAGTAAAAACTTTAAAATAAACGTACAATGCTGCATTAACAGAAATGTCAATTGCAAATAGGCTGCGATTGACACCCTTAGAATTCCACAGTAGATTTAGCAAACGTCATCTAGAGAGGTTGCATTTAAAATCCTGCATAGATTTATTTGTTACATTCCACATTAAAACAAATATAAAGATATTAAGATAAAGAATGAATTGTTAAACTTTAAAGAATAAAAAAGAACAAATATGAATAAATAACAATAGTTAGAAACACACATACAAACATACAATCTATTTTCTTTGAACAGAGTATTTGGCCTGAGGTAGAAAGGAGGTAAATATAAGGTGAATAAAAGAAATAATCATTCCAAGTAGGTACATAAAGTCAAATCAAATCTATGAACTCTGAATAAACTTTGAGAGAACCTCTCTATTCACATTAAGTATCCCGCCCTCCCCCCGCTGTTCTACTTACCTTCCCAAACCTCCTTTTGGTGTGTAATGTGCATGCATGTTCAGATTTCTCCACTGGAGGGGACCCATAACATATTTTTTTCCATTGTTGTTTATTTTAACTTTAGAAGTTTTGTTGAATAAGTTACGTGATTCTGATAAAATAAAAGGAATTGTAATTAGACAGCAGGATTATAGACTAAGAGCATTTGCAGATGACCTGGTTCTTACTTTATCTCAACCTATAGAAGCGGCTCCCTATATGTTGGAAATAGTAGCTCAATATGGCAAAGTATCTGGATTTAAAGTAAATCTTCACAAGACAAAGATGATAACTAAAAATATGTCCATAACTCAAAGAGAAGATTTAGGGAGAATAACGGGGTTTGAAGTAGTTAAAAAGGTTAAGTATCTAGGAGTATATATTGCAGCCTCAAATACGAAATTGTTTAAAAATAATTATGAAATTCTTTGGCAAAAAGTACAGAAAGAAATGGAAAATTGGAAAAAGTTACAATTATCACTACTGGGAAGGATAGCAGCAATAAAAATGAATGTACTACCTAGGTTTTTATTTTTGTTCCAAATGATACCAGTGCTTAAAAAAGATGGAAATCTCATGGAATGGCAGAAAAGGGTTAATACTTTCATTTGGGCTGGGAAGAAACCAAGAGTGAAACTGAAAATTATATACGTGAGAGAGGAGGTCTTAAAATGCCTAATTTAAGATTGTATTACGAAGCAGCAGCTTTATCGCAAATTAGTGATTGGTTTAACTTAACTGAAGAAAGAATGTTAAACATAGAAGGTTATGATTTGCTGTATGGATGGCATGCTTATTTGTTATATGAAAAAAAAGTGGATAAAGTGTTCAAGGATCATATACTCAGAAATGGATTGTTGAGGGTTTGGAAAAAGTACCAATACAAGCTGAGATATATAGATACCTATATGGGCAAATCCCAGACATGCAATAGAAAATATAAGTATAGAGCAAAAAATAGAGGTGATTACTTATAAAGAGCTTCTTCTTTTGGAAAGGGGAAAGTTGCAACTGAAATCCCTAGATGAATTAAAAGAAGAAGGGATAATTTATACTTGGTTTCAGTATGGTCAGCTTCAAGCTAGATGGAGGGAGGATCAAAAAATTGGTGTTATGCAAAATGAGGAAAATCTGGTGAAACAGATCAGAGATCAAAGTCAGATGCATATTAAAAGGTTGTATAATGCATTATTGGAAATAGATTCAGAAACAGAATTGGTTAAGGATTGTATGATAAAATGGGCACTAAACTTTCAGGAACCAGTGTTGATGGAAACCTGGGAAAAGATTTGGGTCAGAAATGTTAAATTTACGCAAGCACAAAATTTGAGAGAGAACTTTTATAAAATGTTTTATAGATGGCACTTAGATCCTAAAAAATTATCATGTATGTACTTGAATTTGCAAGCTAAATGTTGGAGATGTGAATGTACTGATGCAACCTATTATCATATATGGTGGACTTGTAAGAAAATCAAGGCATTTTGGATAAAAATTTGGTGGGTGATGCAGAACATTTTGAAAAGAAGGTTGAAATTTACTCCTCAATTGCTTCTATTGGGTATAACTATGGACTGCACAGTATCAGAGACTAAATTGATTTTTAACTTAATATCAGCAGTTAGGCTGTTGGTAGCTCAATATTGGAAGGACTCTTTGCCTACTATTGAAGAGTGGATATTGAAAGTAACAAACCTAGCAGAAATGGTGAAAATTTCAGCGTACTTGAAGGACCACACGCAAGAAAGATACGTATCAGAATGGAGAAGATGGATTGATTATATTCAAAATAAGTATCAGACAGGAAAATATCAAATAGCTTATGAATGAATGTTAGTATTAGAAGTATTAGGTTATCTATAGTGGAGTTAAGGTTTCAGGGGGGGAGTTAGAATTTTGAGGATAAGTAGATTAATCTAGTTTATGATTGACTAAATGAAACATCTTGAATTTTGCTCTGGGAAGTCTGGGGGGGAGGGTGGGATGAGGGGGGGGAAAGGGTGGGGGGAACATGGGGGGGAATTTTTTTTTGTATTTTTTTTCTTGTAAAACTTTTCAATAAAAAAATATATATTTTCTTCTGTTGGAAGAAACATCCTTCTGGGTTCTGCTCCAAGTGGGGAAAACAGACACTGGAAACATGGAGACTGCTTGGAAAGATGGTTTAATGGTGGACAGGATCACATGGCTTGAGTTCCTGAACAGAAAAGGGGGGAGATACAGAAAATCCTCGGGTTTTTATGCTCTCTCTGGCTCTGCATTTCTTGGGGCCACGAAAGAGTATCCTGATTGGTTGTCAGACTCCCAGGGGGTGGGGGTCTTGCTGGCTGATGCAATCTTCCCAGGTGCCA